CTAACTCCCTATTGATAGGTATATACTCTGTAACTGTTCACTATGGCAAACATTGCTACAATGAATTTGACTGTTTAAGGCCTCTGTGGGTACACTTGGAAGTGCTAGAGCATTGGTATGTATATTTTTTCTTATAGCAATCACTGCAAAATTGTTTTCTTACATGACTATACTAATTTACCCTCAGATGAGCAGTATATGAGAATATAATTTCTTCTAAATCAGTGGTTCTCAACCTGGGACAATTGCCCCTCCAACCACTGGTTTATTTGGTAAGATCTGGAGACATTATTCGTTGTCATAACTGGAATGGGGAGTGGTGCTACTGGCATCTAGTGACTACAGGTCAGGCATACTGCTACACTTCAATGCATAGAAAAGTGACAAATAATTATCTGTCCCCAAACGTCAACAGTGCTGAGGTTTAGAAACCCTGCCCTGCTTCCTAACCAATAGTTAATATTATGAAACTCAAATTTTTATCCATATGCATATAATGGATTAAAATTAGTATAAGTTTATATATATTTGGACACTAATGAGTGGTGCATTTTTCATATTTCTTTCATCGATTAAATGTATTACCTTTTCTGTTAATTGCCTGTTCATATTTTTTGACTGAATTTGTGTCATTTTCCTGATTCATTTATACAATCTGGATCTTAATCTATGTTCTCTATGTATTTTCTCCAAATGCTTACTTCATTAATTTGTTTATGATGGTTTTTATCCTACAGAAGTTTTTACTTTAATATATTCAAATTAATCAATATTTTGTTGTACAACTCTTGCGTTTCAAAGCTTAATTTTAAAAAGAATGTCTTTTTTCAAGGCTATAAACGTATTCTCATTTTTTCTTCTAATATGATCCAATTTTTACTTTTGTATTTACATCTTTAACTCATTTGTCAGATTTTTGAGGGCTGAATGACTCAAAGTAGAATGAAAGCATTCCGTTTTTTTCTGAATAAATAGCTGTGGCCAAAACGTTTTCTAAACTGGGTAATTTTCCTCATAAAGTTGTCTACAATCAAGTTTTCATGTTCTCACCTGCAATTTTTTCTTCGTTATACTCTAGTCAGTGTTCCATTCTCGCCAAACCACTGAGACAACTCATGTCAAGGTCAACAATGACTTCCATGTTGCCAGAGTGAATGGTCACTGCTCTGTCCTTGTCTCACTTGACCATCAGCATGTCCCATGCAATGCACCACAGTCTTCTTGAAGAATTCTCTTTCCATGGCTTCCATGGCCCCAAACTCTCTTAGTTTATATCCCATGTCACTGGCCACTCTTTTTTAGTTTCTATTGTTGGCTCTAATTCTTTGCCTTCACTTTGATCTTTGGAGTGCTCCAGGACTCAGTTCAGAGCCCCTTCTAACTACCTATTCACTCTCTCTTTAGATCATCTCATCTAGTTCCATGTCTTCTTATACTATTGATATGCCCAAGACTACCTAATCTACATGTTTATCCCCAACCTCCCCTGGAACTCTAGCATCCTTTTTCTTTCTGCTTGGCCTCTGTATGTGGATGTCTACTAGGGATCTTAAACTCTACATGTCTAAATCAGAATTCTTGATCCCCTTTCCTCCAAAAATTGGTTTGCCACCAGGCATTCTTGTCAACTGTTTATCAAACCAAGAATCTAAGATGTATTCTCAATTCCCCACTTTAATGTTCCAAATCCTATTCACCACAGCAGTCCTTTTAACTCTGTCTCAGAAACAGCATTTTCTTCTCTCCATCCCAGCAGCATCCTTCCTAGTCCAAACTATCAGCATCTCTTCACTAGACTTCTGCAGGATTTTCCTAGCAGGCTGCCTTAAAAACCATTCCCCACAGTAATCCTTTTTGAATCTTCATCAGATCACATCACTCCCCTGTCTAAAACCCTGTAGTGGCTTCCTACTGACTGCACTTAGGATAAAATTGGAACTCATTAGCGTGGCCTGTAAAGCCAGACCTGGTCTAGCTCCTGCTTCTTCCTCAGCCTCATAATGTACCACTGTCCCCATCATGTGCTGTTCCCACCAGGCTTGCCTTACTTCTGCTCCTTGAATGTAGCAAAGTTATTCTCTCACAGGACTTTTGTACTAAAACCCTGCACTAACTCTGCAGTCACACTCTTCTTTCACTGTTAGCATGGCTGAAGCCAAAAAACACAACTATCTCAGCTGAAATACTATCTCTAGAGAGAGTGATTTCCTGACTATCTGATAAAACACCCAGCTTTCCCTGGGTAGGTCCTCTATTTTAATTCTCTACAGAGTATTAATAACATTTTCTTGATTGTTTTCCATTGGTCTCTTGTATCTGTAACTTCACACCAGAATGTTACGTTCCACAAGAGTACTGATATCCTCCTATCTTGTTCATTATCTTAGTCCATTTGGGCAGCTATAACTGAATGCCATAGGCTGGATGACTTATAAACGACAGAAATTTATTTCTCACAGTTCTGGAGGCTAGGAAGCTTAAGATACTGAATGCCATAGGCTGGGTGACTTATAAACAACAGAAATTTATTTCCCACAGTTCTGGAGGCTGGGAAGCTTAAGATCGAGGCACTGGTAGATGTGGCATCTGGTGAGGGCCTGCTTCTGGATTTATAGATGACTGTGTCCTTACACGGCAGAAGAGGGAAGGGAACTCATTTTTATAAAGGCACTGATCCCATTCACGACAGCTCCACGCTCATGACCTAGTCACCTCCCCTAGGCCCCATTACCTAATACCATCACATTGGAAGTTAGGATTTCAACAGAGGAATTTGGGAGAACACAAACATTCAGTCTATAGCATCCTATAATAAAGGACCCAGCATATAAGTTCTCAGTAAACATTTGGGTTTATTTTTTTGAAACTCTAATCAATTCTATTGATACATTTGCCTATTTTTTCACAAACAGCACATGCTCAGCTTCAGTAGATATTTTAATATCTAAGAGAGTAAGAACTATTCCCTGTTAGATTATTCTTTTACAAAATTGTCTTTTCTAAGGTTGTGAAATACCTATTTTACATGAATTGCAGATTGAAATTATCATGTTTCATATTAAGATCCTTGAAACTTTGATTAGTATTTCTTTGAATTTATAAATTACTTTGAGGGAAATTGACATCTATATAGTACTGAGGTTTCACTCACATTAAAAAATGATGCCTTTTCCATTTATTTAAAGATCATTTTTGTGCCCTTTGATTTAGTTTTACAGTTTCCTTTTTATTGTTTTTGAAGCTCTTTATAGGTGATTTATATGCTTTTTAAAAACTGTTGGGAATGTACATTTTCCCATTACACTCATTAATTTCCAGTGCATAGGAAAATTCTTTTATCTAGACCTATTGAGGTATTTTATTTGATCCAAGAATTTGTAGGGTTTTATTTTATTTTCTAAAGGAGATGATCACATTATTTCACAGAATGTATCTTCAGCTTTTGAAGATGTCATATTGCATACTGCATTCTTGAGGTTGAGATGTCCAGAAAAATGCCAAGAGGGAGTATTAATGTGGGTATCCCTGTCTTGCTCCATGTATTCATGGAACCATCATTCAATATGATGCTTGCTCTAAATGTTTGGTAAAAATCTTTTATTGAGTGAAAAATGTTCCCTTTATAATCTTGTTATAACTTAACTTCAAAGATAGTGTTTTAAATACTATTTTTTAAGAAATCAGCTTTATAATGAGGAAGAACTGAAAAAATGATCACAGGTTTTAGGAAAATTCTGCAGTGTTTTAACAATAATGCCTAATTGTTGAGCTTCCTTTAGGAGGCCGGGTACTTAATATTTTTGATACTTCATTCCTAACCATCAGAGCACTTCTACAAAGTGAAATATTTTTCACCATTTTAAAAGATGAGGGAGTCTTCACTTAGAGACTCAAGTAATTTATCATAGGTCACAATATCTAGCAAGCAATTAAGAAGGGAATTATAGCCACTGTATCTAGCTCCAAAGCCCATACTTCTCCCACATAATCAATTTTTAATTCAGTGAGCTATTAGGCCAAGTCTTTCAACAGGCACTGAAGGAAAAGATAACAAATGTGCCCTGGGTTTATGGAATAATTGATAACTATATCCAAAGTATGTCTATCTTAATGTCAATTCTAAAGGAAATTTCAAAGTAAAAAGTCATACAGACCTGTTTTTGCCTTTAATGGCTTTATCTTTTTAAATGAATGGCTTACATCAAGGGAAAAAAAAGCAAAGACAACCAAGTTGAGCAGGTTAGTAAATACAGAACACAAATTCAAAAACAACTGAAGATGGTGCATGCCTATAGTCCCAGCTACTCAGCAGCCTGTGATAGTAGCACTACTTGAGCCCAGGAGTTCAAGGCTGCAGTGAGCTATGATCTCTCCATTGCACTCCAGCCTGGGTGATAGACTGAGATTCCCATCTCTTAAAAAAATTTTTTTAAAGCAAAACCAAAAACATCTAAAGAGCTAAAATGTTGGGCCAAAAGAAGCAAGAAACATTTCAAATGGTTAGATGTAAAGATTTACCATTAGGTTAAAATACTCAAAGGCATACAAAGAGGATGTGAATAACCATAGTCCCTGTGAAAAAGACCTAGTGGTTTAAACCAAGAGCTAACTTTGCATAACATGGTTGCCAAGTACATTGAATACAATTTCAGTATGCATGAATATCATTGTTATTTACCATAGCAAAAGGTTAATAGTACCACTCTCCATATCTAGAAATACATATTTAGTTGTAGTCATTATATTTAAATTGGTTATAACCCAGTGAAGATGCAGATCACTACTAGGTATTTATCTCATCAGGCTCAGGATGGAGAAAATTTCAGAGGCAACGGGGAACTCCAAGACTTTCCATATTGGTTAGATTACTCCCGGGAAACAGGAAGTCCATAAAACAATGCATGACTCGTGGCCTCCAACTCATCAGAATTGGAACAGTCACCATTAAAAACTCATCCTTACATCTTTTGGGGAACGTAAGAGTTCCTATCCCTACTTACCGCCACTCCTGTCTTATAGAGGAGGTAATGCACTGTCTGTGTAACATCGGCAGCGTGCATTAAGTTATGGTAAGGATTTTTGTGCTTGCTGTATCCCACTTCCAGGGCCTCCACAAATGAGACAAGTGCAGAAATGGGGATCTGAAAGAGAGTAGTAAGGCTAATTAACTAGTGACTTCACTGCTTTCAATGGAGACACAAATGTCTAAGGCATCAGGACTGCTTTTTCTCTGAAAGCATAACATATGAGGAAGCCGGAACTTTACACAGTTAATAAAAAGTACTGACAAAATTATCAGATAATTTGAAAATCTAACAGGAAGTCCTTGGTTGAGGAATAGCCTGCCTTGTAAATTTTTCTTTGTTGCTCATTTCAGAATCCCTGAGAAATGACATCTAATCATTTTAAGATACTTAATTTTATTAACATGTAAAGCAGTAATTTTTAATACACAAACAGAAAACTGAGTTGTTGGTGACTATGTTAATTTTCTGTATTTCCTTGTCCTCATCTACTCTTCCCCTCTAACCCTAAGGGAAAAAAGGATCCTACACAGGACACCAAACAATATTGTAAACAACACTGAGGAATTCAAAAATAATACTAATAATTAGTATCTGTTTGTGGAATCATTCACTATTTGTAATGTAATATCAGTCAAATGAGATCTTCCAAATTCTAAGTCACCAATAATAAATTGCCAAGTAACAAACATAAGAACGTAGCCTGTTCCTGTTCCCATGTATAACAGACTATTGCATTTTGGTTTTGAGTTTTGCTTTAGCTTGGTTTTGGGTTTTGATTTTGTTTTGTTTTTCTTACGTGTCCAATGTATATAACCATTCCTTTCAAAGGGCATTGTTTTCAGGCAGTTTATATTTGTTTTGCAATAATTTTATAACTTATGATTTTTGTGCACTTTGCTTTCCTATAAATAAATGAGATATGCTGCATAGTATGTATTCATTTATTTCTCAATGAATAAAATACTTCAGCCTTTATTTGCAACTACCAGTCACTCAGAGTATTTCCAATTAGATTAATTGTTCTTTCATCTGAAATATGTACAATATACATGCCTTCCTTTCTATGCAACATTGCAGTGAAGAACATTGCAAAATGCATGTACAAAATAAGGGCAAAATAAGGGCATCCAGAAAACATTCATTGTATTAGTTTTCTGGATCCATTCCATGGTTCAGGGTAAATTATACAATATAAAGCTAGGGGAAAAGGAGAGGATGTGTCCTCCTGAGGATTAACAATTACATTTGTAAAAAAAAAAAAATAATAAGGAAAATGCTAAGTTAATGCTCCTGAGATTCCATAATCTGTTCTCCCTTGGTCGTATTCTTCCATTTTACCATTTGTGGATTTTTAAAAATTTAAATACGACCTTTAAGAGGTAAGAGATGAATTCATTATCATTTTTAAAAATAAAAATCCAATGAAACTGGGCTCCTTGGGTTGTTTTATAGAGATCTAAGATTTGCTGAAAGGGCTGTGTGTGTGTGCACAGGAACTTTGTTCCAAGGAAAGTCTCCAGCATCCTCTCCACCATCCACAAGATTTTCATACAGATTTCCAATGCAAAAAAAAATTAAGGACCTAAGGACCATGGCCATGAAGTATTTGTGGTCATGTAAAGACATATTTCCTCAGTGGGAGGGGTTTCAAGATGGCTAACTATAGGCATCTGGCACTCACCTCCTCCACAAAAAAGAACCAAAATAGCAAGTAGATAATCACATTTCAAATAGATTATCCAACACTAGAATTCAACAGAGAAGTAACAGGAAACACCTAAAGCAAAGAAGGAGAGGGAATCAAGGCATGGATTGGCTGGAAGCCTAGAAAGGCTGTCTCTTCAGTGAAAAGAAAGGTAAGTGAGTGAGTGCTAGCAGTCTACGTACCCACCTTGGACTCCTGTATCCTAGCCACCAGAAAGAGCCTAAACCCTGGCAGATCCTGAGACTAAGATAGGGAGCTGCCTGGAGATCACATGAAGACATTGCTCCATACAGGGAGCTCATGCTGGGTCCCACACATCCCCTAACCCCTAACCAGCTACAGCAAGGCACCATATTGAGAGCCCAGCCCCCACCAGACTGCATATTACCTGGGGGCTCATTAGTCCTTGTATCTCCATATCTCAGGAGCCCCACTAACATTCTCTGCCTGCAGCCACCACTGAGGCTGGCTGTTACCTCCAGGGTTGAAGTATGAACCATCAGCAAAGACTGCACTTCCCCCAGGAACAAACCCACCATGCATGTTCATGTACCATAAGGACAAAACCCCCCACCTGCAACAGCTTCCATGAAGGGCTGCTGCAGCCATGACCAAAGCACAAATGAAGTGCATGCTCCCAGCCACCTGTATACAGCTGCTGCCACTGAAAGCAACCACATACTCCACGGTAGCAGGGCTGCAGATCCAACAGGCCCAGTTCCACACCTTCCAGTGCCTCAACACACCATCTGGGGGCCTGAGGATTGCCCAGTCCAGTCCACCACTATTGGGAACTGAGTACTCCTCTCAAGCACCTGAGGTCAGGCCCACTCAAACTGATGCTCCCATCACAGCTGGCATCCACCTGCACATGCCACCTGTGAGCCTGGAGACTGGCCCACCCAGCCTGTCATAGCCACCTCTATGATGCTTGGAACCAAGGGGTTAGTCTCACCACTGCTACTTCCAATGCTCATGCCTACTGTTCAGGGTACTGAGAAGCCCCAATCCACTTGGCCCACTGCTGCCACTACTGGCTCCTGAGCAAGCCACGTGGAAGCCCAAGAATCAGGTCTCTTAGACCTGCTAACACCAGTGCAAGTGTAGAAATCCCTGGGGCCCAAGGCATGGGACAGGCATGCTTGGCCCACCACTGCCACTAATGGGGCCCAAGGTCAGGCCCAACTTGCATCCCATCTCTAGTGAAACTTCACCAGAGCCTCCACTAACAATTATACTCTAAGCTACTGAAAAAATCATGTACACCGCTGACATGGTTTTCAGCCAAAGGAATCATACAAAGACTCTACTACTACACACACCCAGAATCAAAGCCAAAGTTCTCTACTCAACCAACATCATAGATACGTCTTCAGGAAAAAGTCTTCCCATGTGAAAGCAAATGTTAGAAATGGAAAGAAGTGACTGTTAAACAAGATGCACAGATATTGACATAAGGACACAAGAAACATTTATAAAGCAAGGAAATATGACACTTCCAAAGGATCATACTAATTACCCAGCAAGAGACTCCAATCAAAATGAAATTTGTGAAGTCTTGGATAAATAATTCAAATTATCGATTCTAAAGAAGCTCAGTGATATACAAGAGAATACATAAAAGTAATACAAAGAAATCAAGAAAACAATTCAGGATATTAATGATAAATTTACCAAGGAGATAGCTATCATACAAATTACCAAAGAGAAATTATGGAATGGAAGAATTCATTTAATGAAATACAAAATACATTTGAAACTTTCAACAGTAGACTAGACCAAGCAAGAAGAAAAAAGTTCAGAACTAGAAAACAGGTCTTCACAAAAAATGCATCTGGCAAAAATAAAGAAAAAAGAATATACAAAGCATACGTGGCAAATGGGACACCATTAAACAACAAAATATTTGCATTTTCAGTGTACCCAAAACCAAAGAGGAAACAAAAGAGTTAGAAAACCTATTTAACAAAATGCTAGTGGAAAAATTCCCAAATGTAGCAAGAGACTTAGTCACCCAGACACAGGAATCTCAAAGATTCCCAAACAGATACAATTCAAAAAGATCTCCACAGCACATAAGAGTCAAACTGTCAAAATCAAAGCCAAAAATTCTTAAAATAGCAAGAGAAAAACATGTAGTCACTTATAAGGAAACCTTCATCAGATGAACAGAAGATATCTCATTAGAAACCCTACAGGCTAAAAGATAATGGGATAATAGATTCAAAGTCCTAAAAGAAAAAAAAAATGCCAATAAAGTATGCTATATTCAGCAAAGGTATTCTTCATTAATGAAGGAGAAAAAAAAAGCCTTTCCCACACAAGCAAATGCAGAAGGAATTCCTCATCACTCGACCAGACCTACAGTGAATGCTTAAGGGAGTCTTACACCTGGAAACAAAGAAACAATATCTACCATCATGAAAATGCAAAGGGAAAAAACTCACTGGTAAAGCAAATACACAAATGAGGAAGAGAAAAGACGCAAATGTTACCACTACAGAAAACCATCAAACCACAATTATAAATAATAAGAAAGTAAGAAAGGACATACAACACAATCTGAAATTAATTAATAACATGACTAGAATAAGTCCTCGCATATCAATAGCAACCTTGGATGTATATCGATTAAAATTCTCACTTAAAAGATAGACTGACTAAATGGATTAAAAAAAAATCCATGACCCAACTATATGTCGCCTATAAGAAACTCTTTTCACCTGTAAAGACACATGTAGACTGAAAAGAAAAAGACGTAAAAAATATTCCATGCAAATGGAAATCAAAAGCAAGCAGGAGTAGCTATACTTATATCAGATAAAACAGACTTTAAGTCAAAAGTGTTAAAAAGAGACAAAGTCATGGTATAATGAAAAAAGAATCAATTCAGCAAGAGGATATAACATTTCTAAACATATACACACCCAACAGTGAAGCACCCAAATGTATAAAGCAAATATTACTAGACCTAAAGAAGAGATAGACTCTAATACAATAATAGTTTAAGACTTCAGCACTCTATCATAGCATCAAACAGAACATCTATACAGAAAATTAACAAAGTTGGATTTAAACTTCACATTAGACTAAATGGACCTAATAGACACTTACAGAATATTTTACCCAACAGCTACAGAACACAAATTTTTCTCATCAACACAAAGAACATTCTCCAGCCTAGACAATATGTTAGGACATAAAATAAGTCTCAAAAAATTAAAAATCAAAATAATATCAAGTGTCTTCTCAGATCACAGTAAAATAAAACTAGAAATCAATAACAAGAGGAAATTTGGAAACTACAAATACATGGAAATTAAACAACATGGTCCTGACTTACCATTGGATTAAGAAGAAATTAAGGAGGAAATAAAAACATTTGTAAAGCGAATGAATATCTAAACACAACATACCAAAAGCTATGAAATACAGCAAAAGCATTCCTAAGAGGGAATTTTAACAATAAATGTGTACATTCAGAAAGTAGAAAAATTCCGAATAAACAATCTAACACTGCACCTCAATGAAAAAGAAAGCAATATCAAAGCAAACTCAAATTAGTAAGAAAAGGAAATAACGACAGAGTTAAATGAAATAGAGAGTAACAAAACAATGCAATGGAGCAATGAAATGAGAAAAGTTGATTTTTTTGAAAACACAAACAAAATAAATAAACTGCCAGCTAGACTAACAAAGAAAAAAAAGAGAAGATCCAAATAAACAACATCAGAAGTGAAAAGGGAGATATTACAACTGATACCACAGAAATACAAAGGTCATCAGAGACTATTACGAACAACTGTGTACTAACAAACTGGAAAACTTAGAGGAAATGGATAAGTTCCTGAACACATACAACTTACCAAAACTGAATCATGAAGAAATAGAAAACCTGGACAGACCTATAATGAGTAATGAGTTTGAATCAGTAATACAAATTCTCCTGAAAAAGAAAAGTCTAGAACCAGATGGCTTCACTATCAAATTTCACCAAACTTTCAAAGAAGAAGTAACATCAATTCTCCTCGAAATATTCCAAAAAATTGAGGGGCAATTTCTCCTTCTCCCTAACTAATTCTACAATGCCAGCATTTCCCTGATACCAAAACCAGACAAGGATGCAATAACAATAAAACAAAACTACAGGCCACTATCCTTGATGAACATAGATGAAAAATCCTCAACAAAATACTAGTAAACTGAATCCGCAGCACATCAAAAAGATTACACAGCACGATCAAGTATGATTTATTCCAAGGATACAAGGATAGTTCAACATATGCAAATCAATAGACATGATACACCACATATCAAGAGAATGAAAGACAAAAACCGTATGATAATCTCAATAGATGCAGAAAAACATTCAATAAAATTCAATATCCCTTCATGATAAAAACTCTCAACAAATTAGGAATTGAAAGAACATATATCAATATAATAAAGATCATATATAAAAACACACAGTTAACTTCATATTGAATGGGGAAATTTTGAAAGGCTTTCCTCTAAGAACTGGAACAGTATAAATATCTCCACTTTTACCACCCCATTCAACATAGTACTTGAAGTCTTAACCAGAGCAATCAGGCAAAGGAAAGATATGAAGGACATCCAAATTGGAAAAGATAAAGCCAAATTTTCTCTCTCTGCAGGTGATATAATCTTATATCTAGAAAAACCTAAAGACTGCACCAAAAAAAGTCTTAGATCTGATTAATTCAGTAAAGTTGCAGGATACAAAATCAACATACAAAAATCAGTACCAGCTGGGCATAGTGGCTCACACCTGTAATCCTAGCATTTTGGGAGGCTGACTTCTTGAGGCCAGTAGTTCAAGATCAGCCTGGGCAACATAGTGCAATCCTATCTCTATATTTTAAAAAATAAAATAAAAGTTTCAAAAGTCAGTAGTGTTTCCATACGTGAACAATGCACCAGCCAAAAAATGATATCAAGAAAGCAATGTCATTTACAATAGCTACCAAAAATAAAAAATACCTAGGAATAAATTTACCCAAGGAGGCACAAGAACTCTCTAGGGAAAACTACAAAACAATGATGAAAGAAACTGAAGAGGACACAAATAAATGGAAAGACATCCCATGATCATAGATCTTAATATTGTTAAAATGACCAAGTTGCCCAAAGTAATTTACATATTTAATGCAATCCCTAACAAAATACCAATGTCATTTTTCACAGAAATAGAAAAAATATATAGGGAGCCCCTGAAGAGCCCAAATAGCCAAAGCAATCCTGAGCAAAAAGAAAATGATGGAGGCATCACTCTACATAAATTCAAAACACATTACAAGGCTATAGTAACCAAAACAGCATGGTATTAGTATAAAAACAGACACAAAGTCCAATAGAATAGAATAAGAAACCCATAAATAAATCCACATATTTGCAGCTAACTGATTTTTGACAAAGGCAACGAAAACTTACAGAAAGGACACCTTCTTCAAGAAATAAACTCTGGGAAAATTGAATATCCATATATAGAGGAATAAAACTAGACACCCATCTCTCATCATATACAAAAATCAACTCAAAATGTATTAAGCACTTTAACATAATACTCAAAACTATAAAACTACAAGAGGAAAAAAACACTTCAGGAAATTGGTCTAGGCAAAGATTTTATGGCTAAGACCTCAAAAACACAGGCAATAAAAACAAAAATAGACAAATGGGACTATATTAAACTAAAAATCTTCTGCACAGTAAAGGAAACAATCAACAGAGTGAAGAGACAACCTGTTAAATAGAAGAAGTATTTGCAAAATATTCATCTGACAAAGGACTAATACCCAAAATGTACAGGAAACTCAAACAACTTGATAAAAATAACAAGTAATCCCATTAAAATGTGGGCAAAGATATATAGACATTTCTCAAATGAAGACATATAATGGACAATGGGTACATGAAAAAAATGTTCGTCATCACTAATCATAAGGGAAATGAAAATCAAAAGCACAATGTGATATCATCTTACCCCAGTAAGAATGGCTATTATGTTTTTTTTTTAAAAAAAGATGCTGGTGAGGATGTAGAGAAAAGGGAACACTTCTACAATGTTGGTGGCAATGTAAACTAGTACAGTCACTATGGAAAACAGTGTGGGGGTTTCTCAAAAAAAAAAAAAAAAGAAAAGAAAAAAAGAAATCAGTGTATCAAAGGGATATCGGCACCCTCGTGTTTATTGCAGTACTATTCACAATAGCTAAGATATAGAATCAAGCTAAGTGTCCATTAGTGGATGAATGGATAAAGAAAACCTGATATACATACATAATGGAATACTATTCAGCCATAAAAAGAATGAAATCATGTCATTTGCAGCAACATAGATAGAACTGGAAGTTATTACATTAAGTGAAATAATCCAAGCATGGAAAGACAAATAGCACATATTCTCATTCACATGTGGGAGCTAAAAAAAAGTTGACCTTATGCAGTTAGAGAGCAGAATGATAGACACTGGAGGCTGGGATGTGTGTGGGGGCATAGGGGGTTGGTGATAAAGAGGAGTTGGTTAATGGGTACCAACATACAGTTAGATAGAAGGATTAAAGTCAAATGTTCAGTATCAGAGTAGGGTGACTACAGTTAACAAGAATGTATTGTGCATTTCAAAATAGCTAGAAGACAGGACTTGAAAGGTTCCCAACACATAGAAATGATAAATAATGCAGGTAATGGACACCCCAAAAACTCTGACTTGATAATTACATAGTCTATGCATGTAACAAAATATCACATGTACCCTATAAATATATACAATATTTGTACCAATAAAAAAATAGATACCTCTCCAAATACATAGTCCCCAGGAGAATATAAAGAACCACAACTCCAGAGAAATCAATATGCTGTAGAGAAAAAGACTTGTGTTTTCCAGAGCCTCATCCCTTTGATGAGGGAAGTCAGAGGAGCTCGATACTATAGATGTTGGCAGATGAATACATGAACTTCCTGAGGATCTGACCCTACCTCGAGAGTCTACAATATTAGAAGGCTGTAGGGAGTTGAACACTGGAAACAATTCACATTCTTTATGTAAAGTTGAAGAATTAATTTGAAGCATGAATGGCTGGGAAATACCAATGATCTATCACAGATGATGAGTGATAGTATTTGTCTGAATGAGCCAAGTGATGGGGAAAGAAAAGGTTTACAGAGACAGCAGATGCTCACTCTGTCTCCATTACTGCCCCTCTGACAGCACTGGCCAATAGGATACAAAGTCTTGTGGAAATGAGACCTATGGGCAGAGCCTGACGGGGAGCTTGGTTATTACAGGCTCTGGGTTGTACTTCCAGGAAGACCAGAATCTAAATGGGTCTCTCCAGTCTCTCCCATGCCACTGAGACCCACCAGCAAGAGCACAATCAAAAGCACCCTCCACAGAGGAATTCACAGCAGTGGCTATCCGAAGGGTGCTTCCTGAGTTGCCTGGAGCAGTTTTCATTCTGCATATTAAAAGAGACTAAACCCAAAAGTCATATGAGGATAAACATATGCACGTAGTTCATTTATTTTTCTTTTTAAAGAGGTACTGACCTTGAAACGGCTGATCAGATCATAGCGTGTGAGTAGTTCATAGAAAATAAATTTCAGTGCATGATCTCCACTGGCCTCATTCAGGGAAAAGACATCAAAGGACCACTTGTCCACATCCTGTAGGACAGGGTGGGGAGAAAGAATACATAAGCCCACCGTCACTTACACACCAATCAATCTCCCCACTTTCAAGTCTGTCTGCAGCCCTCACTGGAGATTTCACAGTGTGACACTAACAGCCTTTCCACTCTCAAACTTTTTCCAATCTGGTTAGTCTACATAGTATTTACTGTTTTAAAAAAAATCAAATAGTCTTATTACTAATAAAAATAGTCATTTCTTGAGTACCTGCCGTATGACAGGCATTATGGTTGGTAATAAATATGTAATTTATCCTGAAAACAACTCTAAGTGATAGATATTAGTCACATTTTATGGATAAGAAAATTGATAAATTACCTAATTTCCCTAACACTCAAGGTGAGTAAGTGCTGGGGATACAGACAGGGCCAGAACACAAACCTAAGTTGGATGCCTGAGATCAGTCGCTTTGCATTAAGCCCTGCAGCTGCTACTGTTTAATTCACCATAGGCTACGGGGCTCCTCTTCTCTGAACTTCTCTCCAATCCCTTGACACTATCCAATGACTTCCTCTAAGTTTACAGTAAAGAATGTTAACTCATTTAGAAGTGCTCAGAAACATGTGTGATACAGAACACAAAATAATATGCCACATCAATCTAAACTGCTGAGCTGAAACCAAAAAGAAAGCATTCATTTCACAGGAGAGAAAAATGCTAACATTTCTGGAGTCGCTAGTCTGGGATCTTGTCCTCAAATCTGTAAGTGACTTTACTGAAAAAAAGTAAAAGGAAAAACTAAACTGAACTCACACCTTACATATTATCCCTGAAGTTCGAAGTCTTTGCCTATAAATAGCTACTCCAAAATACATGTAAATACAGTCTGATGTGCTTTGGTTTATCCTAACCAACTTCTTGTGGATGTAGTAAACAAAGATTTGTTTAAGCAATGGTTAAGCAACAGTCATTTGGTTTTTCATGGCACCAAAATCTCACTTCCTGTAGTTAAGTGAAGCATATTGACTTGAGCTTGACAGCAAGGATTCACATGAGACCACACTGCCTACAGGTAAGGTGTCAGATGGTACACTGGTAGAGACCTTGGTTCTCATGAGTGACTCTCACCCCAGCCCTCACTGAATTCCAACATGATCCATCCATCCCAGTTTTGCTCCTGACCAAACATTCCAACTGTCAAATTCATCCCAAGGCCATCAAGGGTCTCCCTCCTGGATGCTAAAAAACAGTTTTCAGGGAAAACAGAATTGTATATAGGAAAATCAAACTTTTCCAGAGGGGTTTCAATTGAATTATTTCAATTCAACTTAGTGGTAGCCTCACTTAAGTCTTCAATAACTGCCCCTCCATTAAAACAACCAAAGAAATAGCGACAGGCACATTTCTGTGAGCACCTTTTCTGTGCTACCTTATGGCGCTAGACATTTCAGTTAATTTGTGAGATTAATTGAAATGTCTAGCACCATAAGGTAGCAGAGCCAGGTAATAACCTCACTAACAATGCTTAGTGATCTCACTGCCAACAGATGAAATTGTAAATGCCATGAATACGTGCTGTGACCCAGGCCTTATCCCTTTAATATCCCACTAGGGCCCAGGCCATAGACAGCAAGGACACTTAAGATTAACCCAAGACCTAAAGTTTTACCTCGGTTACCATCATTGGCACTGTCATGAGTCACATATATTGTCTTATCTTTAGTACTAAGGAAAAAGTCACTGACAACTCAGTAGGTTGGAAAATGCTGTGTCACTTCTGACAATTTTTAATCCTAGTGTCCAGAAACAAAAGGGCTCTCTATCACTAGAAATAAAGAGATTATCATGATAAAAAGCCGAAATTTATTCTGAATATCAGGACTTAGAGAACAAAGAGGATGAGCAAATAGAGACAGTGAGATGGATGTCCTCTTTGGTCCCTCATGTTAGGGAAGGCTTAGCTGTAATTCTCAGTCTAATGTTCTTCAGAACCAGTTGAGGGGCTCAGCAAAAATATGGATCCTCCAGTGGGGACTCCAGAGAATCCTGGTGTGGGACCTGGAATCTGCATTTTTAACAAGTACCCAGTTTAACTGCCTTCAACCATTCTTCCTCATTCACCAAATTTTGCCCAAGGACACTTCCTACAGAGAAATTGCAGGAACTTCCTGTTAGTCTAACACAAAGGAAGCCTGAATCTCCTCATCTCCTCCCACTTTAAACCTGGAGTCTTTCCAAGGTGTCACTTCCTGAGTCACAAAACAGATGCCCTTCCAAAGAAGAGCACACAGCTACATTTCCATTAAGCTAATCTCAGAAGACTAGAGGTAGAACACCTCAAGTTAGAAGCTTACATCTATACATGTATATATAATGGAAAAAGTAAAAAGAACATAATGCAATATGTTTCAAATTTAGAGACTGGTTCATTATTCTCTTATGTAAATATAATTTTATGTCATGTTCTTACATTAACCACAAAGCTTAACATGACAATAGCATAAGAGTTATTTTAGGTAATTGTATTCTCTCAGTCTTTAGGGAAAATTTCTGTAATAAAAGAAAACAGTAGTGATTCCATATGAACTTCTGGCAGTGAAGTGGAAATAATCTTTTTTGTAACATGTAGTACATAAAGAAAGAAACAAAAGAGTCTATATCTGTGATTGCTTCAACTCTTTGCAAATAAAATTAGCATCTGGAGAAGTGGAAAAATATTACACTGCAAAAAGCTTTGAACTTCCCCAGTAAACGGGGGACACAGCCAAGAGAAATAGAAGCTTCAGCTTTAATGCACATACCAACAATATATGTGAGGAGAAGTAGCAATTTATTTAGAGAGCTAGTAGGTCTTCCTTATCTGAATAATCTAAGTACCCGTCCCCTCAGACAACATGTGTGCATCTGAGAATTTCCTTTTGTGAAGTATAAAATAACAATTCATGCACATCACAGTTTGTTCCAGTTCTTTTTCAGTTATTCTGCATAGAAAAGAGGCTTCAATTTAGAAGCAACATTCTCATAAGTGTCTTGGTACTACTATACCCTTTTGTATTTATGTTCCTGATAAAGGAAAAAATTAAAGACAAAAGATGCTTTTAATGTTTCTAAGACTTTGATTGAACGTTCAGGTTCAATTATGAAAATCAGTGCAACTTCATAGTGGATATTAAGAATTATCAGATTTCCTGAAGTGATTTCACTGGTTAAAATGTACATTACACTCATGTATTGGGCATCAGATTAGGGGTTAAAGAGGAATGGGAGAAAAGACATGTCTTCTTGCTGGGTCCTTCCTGAGTATCCTTCCTGCTTTTAAGATTAGGTAAGAGACGGAAAGGGTAGAGACAAACAAGGATAAATGAGAATCTGTGTATGTATGGTCTCTAAAATTCAGCTAGTAAATGTCTCTGAGACAAGAGAAAGGCCTATGAATATATAATCAAGATGGTCCCAAGGGGCTCTTTCCTGACATTAAATTAATCAAGAAGCACTCCCCACCCCCTAACTCCATGAATACATAATTTAGCTTCTGAAAATATCATCACATTTTTCAGGTTTTGGAGAAAAAAACAATGACTTTAGCAAAGGTCAAAACACTACAATGTCCCTAAGCACATGACCCAAGTCATGCATAGACAACATGTGATGTCAACGAACTCAGTGATCCTGGGCTACAGGATCAGCAACACATTGGAATCCAGAAGCCAAATCAAGTTTAGCAAATCTCAAATACGCTCAGACCAATGGATCTTCATCAATATCTGCCTTCAGGAATGCATCTGCTTTGGGGCTCCTAGAGATACCCTATGCAATTCCAAGAACTTGCCTGATTAGAGGTAATTCTGCAGGATTTAGCCCATTTAAACTCAAACATTTGTATGACTTCCAAGGGAACATCTGGCTCAATGAGAGTCTTTGGAAAACAATGGGATATATAGATGGGACGAGGACTCTCGAGCTATATGTTCATGCAGTAAAACATTACTAAGAGCTTACCATGTACCGAAAACTCTGATATCAAACATTAGCTCTGTCTCTAATTAACTCTTTTTTAAAAATCTTGCTGAGTCTTGGTTTCTTCATCTATAAAATGGACTTGGAGTAGGTAATCAGATAATGGGGCAATTACAAATACTGAAGATCCTCCTAATGTTGAATACTTATAGCCATAACATACTTGATCTCATATGGCAAAATCAGATAAATCTCATAATGACAGATTGCTGCATAAAACCTAAACTACTCTAGAGTACTAGAAATAAATGAAACCCACACAGAGTTCGATTATTTTTAAATTGGGAAGATGAAGGGTGAAAAGACAGTGATACTGTTAGAACACATAACAAAAAGATAATCAAAGAATAAAGTCAGGAATAAATGGAAAAGTATCTGTAAATGAAAGCCTCTTATTTTCTAGCAATTTAACTCTACTTTTCATTAGGTACTATGTACATTGTAAAATCTTTTCACTTGTATTACCTTTAATACCTCAATAACAGCTGGTGGATAGCTCAGTCCAACCATGTTTGATGTCCGTCTATACATTCTGAAAAGTCAAAAGGGAAAAATGCAACATGATATCTTACAAAGTAGGATTTGTAATCCATAGACTCATACCAAGTATTGACAAATAATGAGAAGTCAAGTGGGGTGATCCGAAGAACCTAAAATTCATTTTTTGACCTTTTTTATATTCACTCAGGTGGTCTAAGTGTTAAATTCAAAAGAAATTAAAGCAATCCCAAACATAAGAACCACTGGGGGGAAAAATACCTAACTCTATAGGCCCCAGACTGAAAATTAAATTATTAAATGGGTCACTTCTTTGGCCAGAGTGAATTATAGTACAGAATAGACAGTAAGCACGGTAGTAATTTAACCTGAATGAAGAACTCCTATGGGTAACCCATTTAGAATCGCTTGTTCTTTAGAACTGCCAAAAACAAGAAGGAAAAATGTCCCAGGTAATCTTTAAACTCACCATGGTATTTCTAAAATGTGTAATTACACGATAAGGATTATAGGAAGAATATCTCTATTTCTGGAATCTATTGCTGGGTAAGGGGGTCAATTTGATTTCAAAGAGTAAAATAGATAATAAAATTGAGTGTCATGGGGACTGCAAACCACTAAAATGAACTGTCCTCCCTGGATCCAGCAACCTCAAAGCATCCCAGATCTGTTCCAAATGGAGACACCATCCACCTATTTCAAAAGATGATAGATGAGATGATCTCCTGCTTTAAAAAATAGAGACTGAACTGAGACTAAATCTTCTCTGGTAAACAAAAAACTTCCAAGCAAAAGCAAAAAGCTTTTCCTAATGATGCTACACAGATTAAAATAGACATGTTTTTGCCATTTCTCATTCAAGACTATCTGCTTCTACCCACAATTTTCAGTATTTATAAAGATAGGAAAACTACATTAAAGCAAAGCTTCCAGTTATTGGAAACGTGTTCCTCTGGCTGCTTTGGTCACTGAATGACAATGAATGACATCTTTACCTCTCCACAAATATCCCAGCCTGCACCGCGTGAACGATGCTCTTGAACCGGGGCTTCTCCTCGCTCCTCCTGAGCATCATCCCCATCTGCCGTGTGAAGGTGGAGGCCAGCCAGTCTCGGACCTCAGAAGGCACAGCATCTGACTGAATGTCACTGAGCTCATCCTCTGTATCCAGGAGTCTCCTGAACACAAGAGAACCAGGACACTGAGATTAAATCTGAAGTTGGAGCTTTCCGTTCAAAGCAGCTGCTCCTCTCTGCCTCACCTGCATGCAGGTGCAAAGAAACCAAATTAAACTGGCTACAAAAAATACAGTGCCTTTTTGGGAAGGCTTATGTAAGCTCGCCATATGTGTTTTAGCATGGTCTTGGCCTCCACTGATATTTCAGGATGATTCTCTTTACCAGACTGGACAAAGGAACTGGTCCATTGTACCCAGAAGCACTCTGTGGCATTTGAGTGAAATTTAAACCTTCTATTTAAAAATACATTCACAGGCAGCCTTGTATTAGTTCATAGATGGACCATGTGGCACTATTTTGTTTTATTAAAAAATGGACACTTAGAGACTTTGCAAAGTATTTACCAAATCACAGCAACCCAGTCCTCTGAAGAAGTGATCCTAAGTGATGACAATTAATATTCTTTCTAGTTTGATAGGTTTCTACCAAAATTTAAATGTCTAAATTCAAGCAAAATTTTCAAAATAATGCAGTTCTTTATTTTTGCACAATGATTGAATCATGTCACAGCTGTGTTTCGCTGATTTTTCAAATTTGTACATAGGTCAGACCACTAGAACGGAACACAAAGAGCAATGTTAAAATAAAATCTAAAATAGCATTGCATATTTATAGTAAACCTAACTACAAATTAGCAGTAAAAGTTGCTGCCAGCGTAAAGGTGTTTGAATTTTTTTTTTCCTTTAGACTTACCAATTGGGGTGGGGGTAAGCGGAGGAAATACATTTGGAAAAAAGCTGTGATATCGAATTTCCTTAAATTAGAAACCAAGTGTGTCACCAAAATAATAATAATAATGATAGAAACCGTACAAATCTTAGATTGCTGTGAAATACTTTCAGATTGGAATTTGGCAAAGAAAAGTAAGACATCACAAATACTGACAGAGAAGCCTGTCTGAATTAGAAAAAAAAAAAAACCACCTTTCATATTCAACATTGCAACACTTTTCAAAAGAAAAGCAATTTTGTAACTTGCAAACATATGTAGTAACTGAAATCGCTTTAATACATTTAGATAATTCAAGTGCAATAAGCCTGCTAAGTAAATCAGCTACACACATAAGACTGAAGAGGGAATGCTGGGTGCATAAGAGAACACATGCTTCTCGATCACTTCAGGAGCCTCCATTTACTAGTGGACATTATGAATTAAAACATAAACACAATTTTTAGACTGACACTAACAACAGGCAATAATTACAATGGAGCTCCACATCTGATTTTTAAAATCTTAGCAGATTTTTAAAAATTAGTTTTTCTCCTCTTTCATGATCTCACTTCCTTGTCATGACAGTCATATGAGGTATGTACTATTAGCTCCTTTTATAGATAAGGAAGTACAGAGAGTAAGTGACTTGTCCAAATCTATCCCCTTTGTTTGTGGAAACTAAAACTCCAAGATGAGTAATTTGAATGTCACCCCATTCCTGGCATGGGGGACAATGTCAGAAAAGCCATATAAGAGAAAATTTACCATCACTATACTAATCTCTTTTGTCATTTTTAGCTTACCTTGTTTCATCAATATACACAGATTCAAGCACTGTGGCTGCATATTCCAAATTCTTCTTAAGATCTACCACTGAAGCTTCCCCTCTCTCTAATTGTTTGACCAAAGATCGTAATCTAGAAAAATAAAAAGATACAATTTCATTAGAATAGAGGAAACAAAGAATAATCCTACAACTATGGTGATATATTTTACAGTCATCGAATATTCTCACTTATTCTGATACATCTGAAAGGAAAATAATTATGGGACCAAAGGAGCAAGTAATAAAATAAATGTATACATTTTTGCCATTGTGAAGTAAGAAGAAAAAATTTCTCTCCAACCAGGCACTGACCATACTTTCTAGCTAGCTTTTATCTTTATGAGTCCTAAATTATCAATGATTTTGTTTTTTCTCAAATTTTCATCTTTTTTGTTCTATGTGGATGTAGTAAAGCCTGACCAGCAGCAAAATCACCAAATACCTCTTGAGATTCTGCTCTGCTGAAGGCACTTGGTTCAGCAGTGGCTCCAGATAATGGCAGCCCCATGACCCAGGCATGTCCCAAGACAGATGAAAAGATTTAAACCACTGAGAACCACAAAAAGGCTACATAAGGAATAGATGAAAGCAAATTGTTTTACTGGATGGAAAAAATCACTCTGAGAGGAGATAAATACCCTAATTTTTTTTAAAAAAGGAAATATGAGGATGGATTTTAAACCGAGGAACTCCAGACTACACAAGAGAAGCAATAAAACATATTTTTCTGTTATTTATATGAACATTATCTGTACAGAGAAGGACTTAGTATTCATAAGAACAATAAAATGACTACAGATGATCAACATGCAGTAACTGAGAATACTGTAAATACCACAGAGATCTGGAGATTGGGCAACTCTTCAGGCTGTTTGACAACCAGCAATGAAAATAGTAGAGACTTTGAAGACAAACTGGGGTTTGAAATTCACTTCATAACTTACTAGCTGTGCAACCCTAGGTAAGTTATGTAACATCTTTGAGTGTTATCTTAATGAAGAGCAAAGTATGAAATTTCTAAAGTTGACCTAAAGATTAAATGAAATTGATATAGAGTATGTGACTCAAGGTTGTCCTTTGAAAACGCAATTGTTATAACTACTGTCATTATTCAATGACTTTGATCACTACAGATAACCAAATGAGAAAAATTCCAGCAAGATGTTTAAAATTATTGTCAAATCTCCATTTCCCATTGGTATACGCAATCTGTTCTCACCTTCCTGACATCAAAATATCCTCAGATAGGTTGTCTTCATGGCAAGGTATAAACTACTCCCTTCCTAATCTTCATGAAAATGACCCACAGTAAAGAATGAGAAAAAATCTTGGATCAACCTTAAAAAGTAGGCAAGGGGGTCAACCATAAAAAAAAATGTCCAGGAAGTTCAATGATATAAAATACAAATAAGATTAGATTCAGGTTGTCTCTACCTGAATTATGAATCTCCAATATATCAAAGGGAAATATGCAGAGGAAATCCCCCGAGGCCCCTGCAGGCTTGAAGGGGAAGGTCAGCCTTGGGAATGCCATTAGCAGCACTGGAAAGAGTTCCGAATTTCAGAGGCAGCATGGGACAGGGAGTTGGCAGGGAAGGGCTTGCCAGTCACTCACACAGAAGGGATAAGCAGCCTGCCAAAGAATGGGGAGACGGCAGCAGGGAGCCCTGACTGCTGTTCCAAATAAGGATTGGAAGCTCTTTAGCAAAACACATTCCTGGCTAAGTCTGCCTCCAGTTCTGACTCTCACCTCAAGGTGCCCAGCTACCCGCTAGGCTGTTTGGACTTTCAAACAACAAAATGAGAGTAAAATTCAACTTTTTAAAGTTTACTTTAAAAAATGAGAGTAAAATTCAACTTTGTAAAATTTACTCTCAAAAATGAGAGTAAAATTAAACTTCTTAAAAATGCCTCTCTTCATTTGGGACTTACAGGTTCTACCAGGAACTGACATGAATTTCTAGTAGAACCCATCTCAACTCTAGAACCTAAGAGGAAACGACAAAAACAAAGAAAATGATGAGAAAGATTATAAGAGTAATAGAAGTAAAAGCCAGAAGATCCTATCTACTCATAATAGAACTTTCATAGGAAATAAACAACAGAAGCAGCTTTTAAATTGAATAAGTTTTCCTAGGCTAAAGTAAAATCTGTATAAGCAGATGAAAAGGGATCAAATACAATTTTTTAAAAGTAAATGAAAACATTAAATGTATGCTACTGTAATTTTTAATTTCAAAGAATAAAGAAATGAACCTGAAAATCTTTTAGAAAATTAAACATAATACTTACAAAGTAACAAAAAATTGTCCTGGCCATCTACTTCTATCGTGTCAAACATCAAAAAGCCATTTAATAACAGTACCAACTTTTTAGAATAATATGGGAAAATTCAAGACATTTATATCTATATCTACAGAGTTACCAAGTACATAAGAAGCCAATAAAGGTATTCTCAGTTGTCAACAACTTCAAAATTTATCATTCATATCCTTTCCAGAAAACAAAACAAAAACTTTAAGGCATACTCTAGGACAGTGGTCTTCCAAGGGAGTGGATTCATGAGTCTCCAGTTAAATGGATTGTTGATTCATGACCCTAGATTTAACTAACTCAAACTTTACAAAATGGACAAGTAATTTAAAAAGATTCTGGCAAGAAGAGGCAGATAAAATAAAATGCTAATAATACAAGGACAACTAAACATGAAAATGAGCTGACACGTCTCCTTTTACTAGGACAATCTCCTATTTCTCATACAAACACTTCCTCTCCCACTTTTACAAACTAAAAGCTAATTCTCATCAGCTGAAAAATAATTGGAATTATTAAGGACATTATATGGACTACGGATGTATAGCCACTACTTTATAACAATTCCCACTCCTGAGAAAGCACAGTATTGAGAGAATCAAGTCATGAAGGGCCTCATATCACCTTGTGATCAGTGGGCTGGGACCCCAGGCCAGAGCAGGAGTGGGGCCTTCAGGGAAAGCTTCACGCAGAATCTCACTCAGCTGTTCCAATGAGTAGCACTGAAATCAGCTCCACCAGAGAGACCCAGGCTTTGTGCCACAATTAGCAGAAAATCAGCCATTCAGAGGCTTCTCCCTGATGTAGTCACTAGTGGTGCCAGGCAGACTTTGGGCAGACATATTTATGCATTCAGTGTGAAGTTCTGACCCAACAGGAAGCTGTAAATAGAAAGCAAAACCCTAGCCAAGTGGTTTCAACAGATTCAGGAGGAAATGACACAGAAATAATGCACCTTTTGGATGCATGGGGGACACTAGAAATTTACATGTAACCCCGTCTTTCCAGCTTATGAGACAAGCAGAAGATTCAATCAACTTCCTGACAGACAGTGAGGGAACCTAGAACACAACCCGTCACTCTGGTTATGGAAGAACACCCAGCTGACATTCACCTTTCTTTACTCAAGGATGATGAAACAGAAGAAAACATTCATGAAGAGATACAGCAATAAAGACAGAAGAGAATACAGCATTCAAAATGTGAAACGACTCACTTTTGAAAAAGAAAATCACTAACAGAAACAGAAGTGAATTTTAGGAAGCATCTGCTGCGTGTTCAATACAATTCAAAAAAACATAGATCTGTGAAATAAAGGTAAAAGCCCAAATCAATATAATAAAAAGTTTCTTTAAAAAGAAACAAAACATGACAATAGAAAGACTACAATCACTTACTGCTAAAAAGAAGTTAAGTGGTGACCAGTTTTGTATATACCCATCTCCTGTTTGGGTGTCACCCATGTCAGATACAAGCTGCAGCTGCCAATTTTCTGCTTTATGTAGCTGCCACATAAACCCTAGCAATTCCAGATGCCCCTTTCCAATTCTGTTGAGCTTTAGCATAGCATTCAGGTGCTTATGCTCCATCGGCCCCTCGGCCCACTTTTCTCTACCTCTTTATCCTTTCCATTTGGGATATCCGGCCCTGCCATGCCATAACCTACCTACCTCTTGGTGAAATGGCTATTCTTTGGGCAAAAGAGTTTCAAACTAGCTCTTTTATCATTGGCCAATTAGTAGTTTCAAAAGTTCCGGAGAATAAGGACCCCTCTCCATTTGTCTTCATAGTGAAGATATTCCCTAGATCTTAATCTATCTTAAGAAGGGTTGTCTGAAAATTAGCCAGGATCTTTCCTACCCATGTCATAAAATATTTTTGTTCAATTGGAAAAGACTAGCTGAGACCAGAGATCTCAGCTGCTCTCCTTTGTTTTCCTAGTAAAGTTGTCTAGATGCTTTTCATGTGAATCCATTCCATCTAAAAGGTGAATGTCCTCAGGGGCCAGGTCCCATGGTATGCTGTAGTCTATATTTTGAGAAAGATGGATATCTGGTGTTTTAATACTACCCAGGGGAATTTTTGGCCTGGGCACCTAAGGGGAATTTATTTCATGAGCATTCGAAATAAATTCACAAGGAAGGAAGATAAAGAAGTAGGAAAATACACAAATAATAATAATAATAATGATAATAATAAGGTTTCTCTTCTGAGAGAATGTTCATAGTTTCCAGCCCTCCATCCATTTCTGTCACTGTGGCTGCCAGATAATAGTTCCAGTATAGAAGTGCAGCACCATTTTAGGAAGTGCTTATGCCTTCCAACTTTGGCAAGATGCCTTTCAGTTAAGACAGTGTGCAATTTCATTGTGGATGAGCCATTGCATCTTTTCATGACTCTTGCATTTCTTGGCGTAAACGCTTTGCTTTCTGTATGCTTCTTAGCTGCAAGGCATATGATGAGATACTGCATATCTTCAGTTCCCTGTGCCCTCAGATCCAGAGCAAGCCCTGGATGCTGACTTCCCCTGACCCCACACCAATCAACATGTGGGATGCATAAAGGTGTTGGAAGAGGGAAACTATGTGTGGAAAGGCCAGAGCACTGTATTTTGGAATTTAAAAGGATGTTAGGGAGGAGAGGTATTCTTTTTTTCTTTCCCACAAAGATAATTCCTAGGACCAATGGGGTGACCTTCATTAAGAAGCAACGTATTGGTTCAACTTTATAACTTAGAAAACTGCCTTGTACTGGACTAGGCACTATTCCCCACCCCAG